AAACCGAATTGCTATTCATGTAAAACTAATTAGATATGTTTTAATATGCTTTGATATTTGTTGTGTACATGTCTGAAAATTACTTTAAACTCTAGTTATTCGAATTTATGTATAAACTATTTTGCATATGATAAATTCGCACCCTGATCTCTAATCGTTCTCCTTAAATCTATTTAATTGAAATATTTTGTTATTATTACTAACATTAGGTGGAAAAAATAATCAAAACAGCCAAGAGCTATTTTCCACCTAATTGCTTTATACTTGTACTGTTAATATAATCATCAATTTTGTGATTGTAAACTCTATCTGTATATAGATACATTTATTTTAGCAATAAACGTTATCTTATCTTATCTTATCTTATTATTATTAGTAGTAGTAGTAGTTTTCCAAATTTTTAAACATTGGCAAAATTAAAATTTAGATTTTGTTCGACATTTTTAAAATATTGACATATCTTACAATATTACAATAATTTATTTATAGATTATTTTTTTCAAGTATTTTATTTCTTGAATTCTAAAAACATGATTCTGAAGTTTTATTACAAGATTCGCCAAAACTTTTCACAAAACTGAAACCGCGCAAATCCGGGAGGAAAGATTTAGATTTGCAAAATATCTGGGTTGCACAGGTTTCAAGCAAACTTGTTGAGTTGGAATATTTTGCAAGCATTCGAGAAGCTTTGGCTGAAAATTCTGCAAGTGCAAATCTGGGGTCTACAGGCAGGATTCTGGAAGCTTGGGAACTATCTGAAAAAATATTGCATTACTATTTTGCGATAAATTCTTTATTTAAACTCATTCAGCTTTTTGATTGGATTGCTTCATATATATTACTTTATATTATTGTATGATATATCATATATAAAAGATTTTTGATAATTCATTTTTAAGAATTAGTTTTTTCTTTTTCTTTTTGTCCTAACATTTTAAATTGATTTCTCAAAAATTAATTTATTTTATTTTTGAAAACTTAGACATTTTATTGTATATATATATACTTTGCTTGTCTGTCTGCTTGTTTGTATCCAATAAACGTCAAAACAGCTGAACCGATGGCGATATCGGGCCCACATTTTTTAAGGCAAATCACATTTAAATTATAGTAAAAATATATCATGTTTTCTAATTAAATTATAGTAAAAATATATCATGTTTTCTAATTAAATTATAGAAAAAATATATCATGTTTTCAAATCAAAATATAGTAAAAATATATCACGTTTTCTTATTAAATTATAGTAAAAATATATCATGTTTTCAAATCAAATTATAGTAAAAATATATCATGTTTTCTAATTAAATTATAGNATTTCTTAACATTTTCTTCTTGTATAATTCACAATTTATTCATTAACTATTCTATTACTTTTGTTCTCGACATAGCATGTCATTTAATTCTTTTTTATCTTCTTAAACAATCCTTTTATACTTAACAAGCATTAACAAGCATTAAAATATATAAAAATATATTGAAGGTTTTTAAATTTATCAAAACAAGTCATATCAATCTAATTGAATTTACCCGTAAATTTTTTTTTAAAGTTCTCTGTATTCTCTTAAAAAATAACCTGTTCCTCTGGGTTGGATATAGTTCTCTGTATCCTCTGTATTATTTAGTTAACTAGAGCTGAAAACTTTAGAATGAAATATCCAGATATCCCGTCGAATAATTAATCTGGAGTTTAAATTCATGTGGAGAACAAGCAATATTTAATCTGGATATCAAGAAATTATGAGCTTCTCTGGATATTTCATTCTAAAGTTTTCAGCTCTGTATCCTTTGTATTGTATAGTAAACCAGCATCCTCTGTATTGTATAATTAACCTGCATCCTCTGTATTGTATAATTAACCTGCATCCTCTGTATTGTATAATTAACCTGCATCCTTTGTATTGTATAATTAACCGGCATCCTCTGTATTGTATAATTAACCGGCATCCTCAGTATTGTATAATTAATTAACCTGTATCCTCTGTATTGTATAATTAACCTGTATCCTCTGTATTGTATAATTAACCGGCATCCTCTGTATATTATAATTAACCTGTATCCACTGTATTTTATAGTTAACCTGTATCTTCTGTATTGTATAGTTAACCTGTATCCTCTGTATTGTATAGTTAACCTGTATCCTCTGTATTATTATAGTTAACCTGTATCCCCAGGGTTGGATATAGTTCTCTGTATCCTCTTATTATCAAGCTGTATCAGAGTATCCAGGTCGATATCCTCATGTTCTCCAACTATATCCCCTAAATGAAAAAGATAATGATGAAGATCAAGATAACACTGCAAACCAATATGTGCACGCTCCTTTTAAGATTGAACTTAAAAAGGTTCGTTGCATTTCTCAAATGTATGCGTCTAGGGCTACAAAAAAGTATGTTTGAGGTAAAACCAAAGGGTAAGGCGTTGCAACACTTTAAAGTCGAGGCTGCAGTATAAAAAAATTTGACAAACTTTCAGAGTTGTCTAGATATCAGTGAGAAAAGATGGATAACATTTTTATGAGAAAAAGTGGGCCACCTACAGATTTTCAATTTTATAATTTTCCCAGTATACAGGGGTTTTATTACAAAGGATTAGACTTCAGCAACGGCTATGCGAATTTAATGAAGTTTTTTCTCTGACATTCTTTACTACAGAGAAATGCTTTAGACAACCTTTAGATTGTAAAATTTCTGATAACACTGTACCACGAGAACCAGAAAACTTAAGAATAGGAATATGACTTTAAGACTCAAGTACTTAATGATCATGAGCCACAGCAATTGTGCATTTCAACTTCAAGTGATTTTATTTGTTACCAGTAAAGCTATTTGCTTAACCACATGAAATAAACAATTTATTAGTGCTTTAATCACGTCTTCCTATTCCACAGTTTTCTGGTTCTCACTGTAAAAAATTGTTACCTAAGAAGTTGCGTAAATTTGAAATCGCCCGTGGATTCCTTGAAACAAAAAAAACATACAATGAGAAGCAGAAAACTGTGGAATGGGATGACGATATTAAAAGCAATAATCCACTGTATTTGATGTTGTTAACTGGCAATTAATTGAATTAATTATTAAGTGAAATGGTTCTGTTTACAATTGCTGTGTCATTTGTTAAAGTTTAAAATCAAACTTAAGTCTGAAAAAGTCGTCTTGCTATTTCATAGTTTTCTAGTTCTCACTGTAAAAAATATAATAATTCCAGAAAAAGATAAATTATTTAAATTTTTTTTTTTAACTGAAACCTAGGAGGTCAGAAATAGAATAGTTTAAAATGTCTTCTTCGATAATTTGATAAGTTGTTTGCAACTAAAAAGACTTAATATAACATTTTTTATATGAAAATTATGCTATAGTAAAATATATATGATTTAAACATTTTTTTAAAGAAATAAACTGCAAAAAGTCTTTATAATATCAAATACAGTACGTTGAAGAAGACATTCAAAACTATTCACCAACTGTCATGTTTCGTAGAACACCATAAAATTGCACCTTCAAAATTGACGGAGAACTATAGAAATCTGTCAAGAATCTAGCTTATTAAATAATAACGACATTGGGGTCCCACATCATATTAGATCGTTAATTGCTCTAAATTACGATTTTTAGGACTAATTTAAGAAGAATGAATCATCTCGAAAAATTGTATAAGGGTAATATAAAAATTTGCTTGAAGAAAATACTAGGTTTTTCGAGTATGTGCGTATTTTGGCGTCAAAGCTGGGAGACAATCCAATATTATATGGGACGGTCTGTACGTGATAGAAGGCTACACCACATTTTTTAAGGCTCATAAGACTCTCAGTCTTTAATTTGATACAATTCTTGTCATTTAAAAACTGTCGAAAATTAAATACGATTTTTAATTCGACTCTTGATTCCCATGTTTATTGGGATACCCTGTAGAAAATTTTCTTTTCAAGTAAAACATTATATTAAACTATTTTGAATAATGTTTTGAACCTCCAGTTACCTGGGGTCCAAAACTCCCCAGTGTACAACTGCACTGTCTACTGTACCGTTATTGTACAGTATAGTTCCATTTGGGAACATCTGTATAGGAAAAACAAAATAACGATAAATAATTTTATTTTTACTTCAGGGTTACCCATAAAGGATGACACTGAAAAGACGACTTAAAACTATTCAAATATGACATTCACAAATTTAAAAGTCGAAGTTTTCTGTTGTTTTTAAATGTGATGATTTGGCAAAGAAATCATGCAGGAAATCATGCAGGAAATAATGCAGGAAATCATACAGGAAATCATGCAGGAAATCATGCAGGAAATCATGCAGGAAATCTTACAGGAAATCATGCAGGAAATCATGTAGGAAATCATGCAGGAAATCATACAGGAAAACATGCAGGAAATCATGCAAGAAATCATGCAGGAAATCATGCAGGAAATTATGAAGGAAATTATACAGGAAATTATGCAGGAAATCATGCAGGAAATCATGCAGGAAATCTTACAGGAAATCATGCAGGAAATCATGCAGGAAATCTTACAGGAAAACATGCAGGAAATCATGCAGGAAATCATGCAGGAAATCATGCATGAAATTATGCAGGAAATCATACAGGAAATCATGCAGGAAATCATGCAGGAAATCAGGCTGGAAATCATGCAGGAAATCATGCAGGAAATCATGCAGGAAATCATGAAACGCAGTGTAAACTTCGTACAGTCTCCTAAGTCTCATGCTTTGTGGCCAACCCTGTATTAAAGTTGCTAAACAAAGAAAAAATGCGGATTAAGAAGAAATGTCCCTCATAGTTAATGAATAACGAGAAGTAATTGTACAGTCCTATTCTAAATAACCTGGAATAATGTAAATGTTGATTTAAAACTTCAAAGTCGTCTTTAATTTTAAATATAGCTTGCGGCATTTATTATTGGTAACCAGATTTTAGCAATATATTTTTTATGAAATAAAATAGCTAAATTTAGGATAACTGATCTAAGAGATTAGATTAATCTAATCTCTGTTCTGTGCCGTTGAATGCTGAATGAATGTTGAATGCCGCAAATCTATAAATTAAGTATCACTTCAAAAGAACGCCCCAATAAGTTCGAAAACAAAGTGTTATCTTTGGATATAATATTTAATCGACAAATTCTATTGTATTGTTTATATTTGGTGTGTATTTATTATTTCAAATTTTTATTAAGCATACGTTTAGTTCATGGACTATATTTTTTTGAGATTCCAGGTTTCATCCTATACCCCCTTTCAATTTTTCCTTTACAGTCCCTTTAAACTAAAAAAATTTAAAAGAACAAAGTTTTGTTTAATTGAAAGTCTAAAATCATAAAAGAAGTAAACATACAAGTATCTTTTACAAGAATATTCTTTTACGTCAACAAAATAAATAAATTAGTAAGATGAACGGATAAGCTGTATTCTTTGTATCCATGATTTTTTAATCAAGATAATTATAATTTAGTTCTTTTTAGAAACTAATTTTAAAAAAACGACTTTAAAGTAATCAATCAACTTATATTATTCCGGGCTATTTAGAGTAGGGCTGTAGGTAAACTTCTAAAGATGACATTTTTAGTGCCGCTAATAGTGCTCTATAGAAGTGGCTTAACTATCCATTCAGAGTTCAACTACTTCTGCTTTTCATTAATTCCAACCTCGGCTCAAGAAAATTTGTTTGTCTGCCCTAAATGTTGAAAGTTTTATTTTAAATAATTGAAAATAAGTATGATTTGATCTTTTCTCTCAATAGAAGAAAAATATAGTTTTTTTTTGTAATTCCCTTTTTTGTTTGATCCTCCAGGAATACTCCAGGTCTTTTGAATCGTTTATCCAGGAATACTGAACCAGACTAAACAATAACAATAATTCAAAAGATTTGATCTGTTCTGATATCATAATAGGAGTTTAAAAATATGTTAAACTGTGTAATATAAATAAGCATTAAGGCAATTATGTGTTTATTTGAGATTGAGTAATGAACTACAACTAAGACAATTTCACAGTTTTTTTGGGCCTCACTAATGTATAAAATATAGGGTGTCTCTATAAATAAATATAGTATATATGTACTGTAGTTCTTTTTAAAGTTTTTTTTTATAAAACCTGTAATGCCCGTCCAACTATCACAGGGATGGGAGGTCCTATCGGAGGAACAATAGTAATCACCAATGACTAAAAAAACTAAAATTAATTAGAATATTAAAAATCTTTCCAATATGGTATAATGAAATCACTGATATATGAAAGTTTGTCATCAAATCTAAACAGCCTTGACTTTAAAGCGTCGTGACGGCTTGGCATTTACTTTTAACTCTCCAAGCCACTTATGCTATTTTCTAGCCTTAGACATTCTAAACCTATCTTAAGTTTTAAATGAGTAATTGGAAAAATTCTGCTTGATTTTTGCGTAAGGGTGTACACATCTTGGTTTGCAGTGAACTAACGTCTGCTTTAACCATTTAAATCTTATTATTATTTTATGCACTTGATATTTCAATGTTGGTCCTGACCGGCCGATCCGGTCAGTTTGATTTACCTGTATATATAAATAAAGTAGTTCTACACGAAACGTTGTGTTATACAGACGTGTAGAGAGCCAGGGTTTTTTGGCTAGAGATTGAGAGCCTTGAGTTTTGGCTAGAGATAGAGTTTGCGAATATAAATTAGACTCTGAGTAGCGTAATCTCGGGACTAGATTTTATTACATACCGAATCTTAATTAATACTAGAATAGCATACTGGATTCACAACAGTACCATTTAAACCTTTTATTAATCGAGGATGAGTTAGATTTCCTTATTGCTCTAACAGAAAATTGATGATTTTCTATTGCGGTTTCTCTAGAAAATTATCTTGCGGATTTATTCTATATAGACAATGAAGCAAAGTCATAAAAAATTTTTAATCCAAAATTATAATTATAAATAATATAAATTATGTTACCATGTAATTGTTTGACACAGAAACATCGTTTGCATTCGCCTGCACAGATCCGAAATCGTTGTCGTTGTTGTTGTTGTTGTTATTCTAAAACAAAATCAAAATCAAACAAATAATTCAATAATTATAATTTCTCTCTTCAACTATGTTATGAAAGTAATGGAAACAAAAGCATGGATTAATTCTAATTTGTCCAAAAAAGTGTTAATGCAAAAGTAAAAATATCTCTACGGATGTTATTTGATCAAATTTCCAACTTCACTTCTCTTCGAATTATTCCTAAAAGTTTCTCAAAAAAATTTTATAATTTTAAATTTTAGGAATAGATTTTTCCCCATAAAGTAGCCATTGTTCGTATTTTTGTATGATTCCTAAAATGTTTGAGATATTTTATACTTTTAAGGTATATCCATAATAAATTGCGTTAAATAAATCAACCTGATTGTTGTTGTTCAGATTTGCGTAAAGGTTGGATACAGTGTTGAACCCCAGTAGCATTGATGTCAGCAAATTGTAGGAATTAAACCCATACTTTCCTGAACAAAACAAAAACTGATTATTCACCCTAAATTTGATTTTCTTTTACCACAGGGATAATCAGAAAACTTTGGAATAGGAAGACGACATTAAAACAATAAATTAAGTTTATTTGGTGTTGTTACAAAGCAAATATGTCTATTTCACGGGCAGTCGTAGTACATTTGAATTTACGAGCCGGGTCAACCTTTTCGGTCCTAGTTTGTACTGTACCTAGCTCTATGGACAGGACTAGCCGGTGCAACAAGGTTGACGCGGTCAGACTTTATGCTTCATATAGGTTGAATTTACTTTTACTAAAGGGGCAGAGGTGCGTGATTTACAATTAACAATTGCTGTGTCTCATAATCATTGGACTATTTTTAGTAATAATTTGAGTTTAAAAGTCATCTTCCTATTCCAGAGTTTCTTGGTTCTCACTGATGTCGTAGACCTTTGATATTTTAAACTTTGAATACGCACACCGTCCGGTTGAAAAGTTACTGTGATGAAATAAATATAATTTGAAGGGAGTGATCCTATGATCACTTGATTAAATCTATTGTTTGCTAATCCAATTCAACGTGCTTGCTTCTAGCATAAATTCCTCCGAATGAATTAATTGGCAAAATACTAATATATTTTTACACCATCAGGCTGCGCAGATACAAAATGTTAAAGATATGAGTTTGAGGGAAGAATTCAGTTTGCTTTTTTAACAGGAACCTTTTAATTTTTTTCAATTTGATTATACCCCACCTGTTCCCCCGGGACAATCTGCTCTCTTTTTTCTCTGAAACAAAAATTCATCATTTATTAAAAAAAGATCATAATAAAAAACTTTTTTTATTTACCGTTTAAACCAGAATTTCGGAGACTTGAAAAGAATTTATAAAACTGTTGTCTTGAAAATTTGTCAATGGGTTTCATGCTATCATCAAATCTCAGTAATTGTAAAAGATAAATCAATAGCCATAAAAACGTACATACGGGAACAGTTTAAAGTTTCTTATTTGTTCCGAGGCAAAAATCTATCTCTGGCTTCTTTCATATTTTGCCGTTTTTTTATAAAAATTTGCACATTTTTCAATCAGATTGAATTGAATGAATTAATATATCCAACCACCTTGTTTTATTATTTCGGAAAATATGTTTTTTTTGTTACGATTTTTACTTTTTTGGTTTGTTTAAGGTTTAAATTAAAGTTTTTTTTAATACCGGCAAAAAACATATCGTCCCATAATAACACAAGTCAATTGCATAAATAGATATAACAATCGTACAAATGGATCAAATGAAAAATATATATATGCTAGCTTGGAACCCAGCTTTGCCTGAATCATAAGTTTTCCCTATAAGAGTCAACCAAATCAACGAGTTCCACAATTATAATTTGAGGCAAATCGGTTAAGGGGTTCATAAGTTACGATCATACAAACAGAAATTACTATTTTATAGACAATTACGCTTCTTAGATTTATTTTAATCTTTTAAATTCAATCGTTCGTGTTCAACATTATCAACATTACCAACAAATGTTGTCGTGTGACGAGTGACGATAGCCAACGAAAATATTGATCAACAAAATGTTTTTTGCAAAATTCTTTTTATAGGTTCAATTATTATTATAAGTCTTCATACCTTTCTATTCACATCAAATGTTTAAGTTAATTACAGGTGAGATTAAAATCTTATATGTTTTTAACTATAAATCCTTTTACTGAAGAGTGAAGAGATATCAAGAAGATCAAAAATGTTTTGAATTTTTAATATGTAACATGTAAAATTGTCTTTCCTCATTCTTATGCGTAAAATCAAAACTAGTGGAGCTGCGAGGTCACAAAATCGTATCAGTGATTTTTTACCTTTCTCTTCTATCCTTTCAGTGAATTAAATAGTATTTTATTATGTAAAAGTTGAGAGATTCGATCAAAAATTGTATTCAAAGTTTGTTGACAAATATCTACACTTTAAAGGAACTGTAGGAATAATTATAATTGACCCTAAATGCAAAGATGACAATGCCCGATTCACAACAGTACCCTTGACATCTTTATCTGATTAATAATTTGGACGATATTTTCATTTTTCTAGGTTTAAAAGTGATTAACTCTGATAATTCACAAACGTTTTTCTTCAGGAAAACTCCGTATGTCGCTATTGCAGTTGTAGAGAAACCACAATTGTAAATAATCAAGTACGATCCCTTTAAACTTTGAAAACATGTCTATTATACCTTTTTAATCTGAAGTTGAGATTTTGCAATTATTTGAAGATTGGTGTCAGCTAACGTTTGAATCTCTGCAGCTAGGGTCTCCCAGAGTTCTACTCCTTAAACCCAAATACAGGTGTATCCACAAATAATGAGCTTTTAAAGACGACATTGTCTTTTTATTCAATTTTTTTTGGAATAATAACTGCAGCCTATGCTCATTTCACATTTTTAATTCTTAGCCATTAATAAAAATATATAAGTGATTTTAACGAAAACAATAGAGAACTAAGCCATTTGAACGATGCATTCCAAATCGACATAAAAGTCTTATCCTTTGTGGGTAACCCTGTATCTCATCATATTTTATCAATTGTTTAGCTTGTTTGTGTGTAAAATGTTTTTTCCTTTTATCGACTCTCTTTCATTTGCACTTTAATATATTTGCTAATTCAACTCTATAAATAGATAATCACTTAAAATTACGCCTAAATTCGCAAAAATATCAGAATATCAAATGCCAAATGATCAAAAATCTTTAAATGATCATAAAAATGTACGCTAAACAGTTAGGACAACAATTTTATTTAAAAAATGGCATACAATTTTACAATAAAGTAAATTTAAAGTTTAAGGTATTCTTAAACATTTTTATTTGATAAAATGTCTGTAAAATGCAAGCTTTCTCTTTCACGCAATCTATTTTTTCTTCTTTCTCTTCTCTTCTCTTTTTTTCTTATCTTGTCTTCTCTTCTTTTCTTCTTCTCTTCTGTTCTCTTATCTCCTTTCTTCTTTTCCCTTATCTCATATCGTCTCCTCGTTGTTTTCTCTTTGTTGTTGACATTTAACCGGTTTTGAGATGAACAATGCAGTACGATCCGTTTTTATGATTTTTCTCTGATTTGTTTACATTTCATGCTTGTAGATTCAAGGATGTATGGCAAGGAAAGTCATTTCAGAAGTGTGCACATCTGTAGTACTGCTGTGTACTGTCTTTGGGCGCTAATGTAAACACAAGACGGATGTCAAATCCTGAAATGGGATCCATCATTCACATAAAAAATCAATGAAATATTCTGGTCATAGGAAATTATTATGTAAATTATCAAAATTATCAAAATTTAATGCTTTCAACCTCCTCGGATACTAAACGAACACTGAGGCATCTATTCTTGTTTACAAATTCCGCCCAGAGAGAACTGGTTTCAATATGTACACAGAGTATACACAACCGCAATTGACTTTCCTTGCCTTACATTCTTGTGTAGATCTAACTAAAACGTACTGCGTTTGTACTCCATAATTAGGAATTTGATATTTTGATATTTTGATATTTTTGCCTAAATTCCCTTTAATCACTCACTATTAAAAATCTAAAGAAGAGGAATTGTACAATTAATCCTAATTATATCTTTAGTGTTTCTACCTGGGAGTGCTGAGTTCATGGTAGAGTATACTGAACTGTATTTTGTGTTCATGTTCTTCAATAACTGTTCTTATACCTTACTTTATATGTTGGTCATTATTATTACTATATAAATATTTGTATATAGCGAGGGATTACAATTTTTTTCATCAATAATTGCTGCACTTCAGAGTAATGCTTTAGTTTTCATGTATTCACTATAGAAAATAGAAAATAGAAAAAATCATTGTTACCAGTTTCAGTATAGAAAAATTATTTGTGCATATATTTGACAACAATGCATTTTTGTCAATTAATAAAGTAAGAATATAGAATATCCAACCCCCCCCCCTCTATATAGCCAAGCCCTTATGAAAATTGTTCATTGTTGACAGCAAGCGTAATTTCAAGTGGCCATCCATGCAAAGATGGAAGTACCCGATTAACAATGATACCCTTTAAAGCTTTTTCTGTTGAGTATAATAAAGTATTAATTATAGATCAATATCTATAACTTGGAAACCATATTACTTTAAGTGTTGTTTCTATGCAACATAAATTATATGCTCATTTCTACTGCCGGAAACACATGTAGACATTTTCAGAATTTGACATACTCCAACCTAGAGACAGCGGCTGAACTCGTTTTTTTAATGACGGGTTTAACACAGACGTTTTTCACTTTGATTTCTTAAATCAATTAATTCAGTTGTTTTGAAGATAATAAATTTTATTCAAGATATAGAAAGGCAGAAAAGTCCAAGAAAAGAACGTTTTTTTTAAAAATTATTTCCTTGTAATGCTAAATTGCATGCTTTTAGTTGATTTTATAAAAAGTAATACGTTTTGAATACATCCAGTTAAAACCAGAAAACTCTGGAATGGAAAGATGACCTTTAAACTCAAATTATGACTTTAGATAGTCCAATAAGCACGGGAAGCAGAAACTGTTCAGCTTAAACAGACCCATTTCACTTGATTTTTGATTTAATAAGTGTCTATTTGCGTTCTATCAACATCAAAAACACTTAAGTATTGCTATAAACATTCCTGGGGCTCTATGGGGTTCCCCTTTAAATTCAATCGTTCGTGTTCAACATTGGCTAGAGATAGAGTTTGCGAATATAAATTAGACTCTGAGTAGCGTAATCTCGGGACTAGATTTTATTACATACCGAATCTTAATTAATACTAGAATAGCATACTGGATTCACAACAGTACAGTGGTGGGCGATTTTATCAATACAATGAAGACGACTTGCGATTTAAATTTTGATTCATAAATATATCAAGCTATTAAACAGCATGAATACACATAAACATAGGAGTCAAGAGAAACTGTCAATGAAAAAAGCTTCTCTTTAAATACTTGTAAACTTGTACTTCGTAAAAAGGTTGTTAACAATCTCAAAACTTAAAGGGACTGTAAAGAAAAATGAAAGTGGGTGTAGGCTGAAACCTAAGCATTTTAGGAGTTGATTTAGACCTTTTAATTCTATCTAAAGTTCTTGTCTCGAGAAATTGATATAAAAAACTGCCATATTGGCGGGATTTCTGGTCACGTGATACCGACGCATTAATTATATTATCAATTATCCAAATTAAAAATGAAAAAGCATAAAAATCAAATAATAATAGGAGCAACCCTGAGTTTTTCAGGCTCTTTCTGGGATATCATCGTTTTCAGATTGGTTACGTATTTGCTGAATATGATCTGTTTAAAAATTAGATTATTATACCAAATCTTTCATACTAAGTTTTGGTATAACTTTGACACAGTTTTATATAAATTTCTCGAGACAGGAACATCAAATAAAACTCTTGTAGATCTCGAGTCCTAAAATGTTCAGCCTTTAGCCATTACCCTCTCATTTTCCCTTGCAGTCCCTTTAAATAAAAAGTCGTCTTCATTGTATTGATATAATCTCCTAACACTGTACGTCAAACAGGTGATATGAACCTTCATATATCAAACTATAAACACTACCAAGAAATATATTACTTTTTAACTTTTTAAAGAGTTTATTTTTTTTAAGCAAACATTTATTAAATAATTCAGTTATAGGAAGGAAAAAATTAGTTATGAACACACAGAGTAAACATAAGGAATTAACTCCTGAAAGAGACTGCAGTAAATATTATTTCACGTGACCCTCCATGCAAAGATGATAATGCCCGATTCACAACGGTACCCATACAAGCTTTGTCTGATAACGGATGAATTAGATATCATGATTTTGAAAAATTTATTTTTTTCAATTATGGTTTCACTACAAAAGTGACTTGCACATTTCTTCTGCAGAAAAACATTCAGAAAATTATTAAAACTAAACATTTTTAAAACTAGAAACACGACAATACCCTTCACATTATTGATTAGGTAAAGGTTCCCTTGTGAATCGGGCATTGTCGTCTTTGCCGGGAGTGTCGCTTCAAATTACGCTCACAGTCCCTTTAAACCGCCATTTTGATGAATCTCTACTCTGTGGTTAATGTTGATGATATTAAAGATGCTGGATGAAGAGGATGAATGGAAAGCCTATATTTCGATACCAGACAAAACAATTACAATCAAAACCACAGTATTTGATGATGCATGAAAACAATAACATTAAAAAATTCTTTTTATAATCATTATTTTTTATTTAAGTTTTAAGTATTAAGCGATAAATGTATATTTAAACGAACACATTTTCTATCAAATATTTAGATACGTTAAAAAAAGAAATATTAATGTAAAGGGAATGTTCGCGAAAAATAAAAGGGGGTATAGGCTCACGGGGAAAAATAATCGCTTTTGGTCACTACTAATCTTAATTCTCTCTGTTGCGTCTATAAGGAAAATTTTTTATTTTAAACAGATCATTCAGATATTACAACCTATAGTCGTCGATTATTTATTGACGCATTCATATAAAGCTGATATTTCATAATAATGTTTATTCTTTTTGCATACAATGCGTTTAAAACGCCGAAATAAGTGGTCGCCAGATGTCTCTGCTCTCGATGTTTTGAATGATTACATGTAGTAGAACTACCTAGCGGGAACAATTAATCGTTTAAAGTGCATTGTAAATAAAACAAGCAACAAATATTATAAAATATTAACAATTAATGCGTCGAAAAATAATCAATGAGTATAGGTTGTAATAACTGAATGTTTTGTTTGAAACTAAATTGATTTTTTTACGATCTGAGACGTATATTGCAACTTTCTGAATTTGTATGGACGCTACGTTCTTCCGTGTAAGTCGTTTTTTAAATAATTTTCTCCTTATAGGCGCAAAAGATAGGGATAAGATTAGAAGAGATCAAAAGCGATTATTTTTCACGAAGCCTATACCCCCTTTCATTCTTCGCGTACACTCCCTTAAAGCAAATAATTTTTTGGACTTAGTTACTTTTTTACCACGTCCTAAATGCTCAGCAAATGATATGAAAAATTGATAAAATATTTTTTTAAGAAACTAAATAAAAATGTTAGAAAACGTATGAAATACAATAAGTAATTTGTTTGGAAAAAATAACTAAATTCTTTTATTTTTGTATTTTACTAAAACACAAGAAAACATATGTCAAATTTGACTCTTCTCAAAGATTATTAACCTATTTTAAAATGAAAAGAGAATATTTTGAAATTTGACATTTTTTACATTGTCCAAGATGTCACTAAAATCCAGTAAAATGAATATTTGATAAATTAACACATGTCCAATTTGATTTTGAAATTCAATTACCGAAAGAAATCTATGAAAATTAGGGACATTTTTGAACAATCCTTTTTAGTGGAAGCAGTGAATACTGACAGATTAACATCTCAAGCTGTTTCCAGGGCTGGGCGTCGTTCCCAAGGAAAGATCGTTCTTTCTCGGGAACGAACGGAACGAACGATTTCAAAAAAGGAGGATTACGCCCAGCTCTAGCCTTTTCTCGCATAACAAATAACAATGTGTTAACATAATAAAAACTTTGTAACAGGGTTCTATATCCTAAAATATAACAGCAGTTTTTTCTTCTTCCTACTTTACACATATTCTGAGATACACACCTATCAAAAACAGTTCAAAATATCTGAGTAACACTGTCACATATTACATATTTTAACTGCTTTTTATATTTTGAAATGTTTCAGAAGTTTTATGTGTATCTATTAAATTCCAACATGGGAACATATTTGTGAGTAAAGATGAAAAAGAAATGAAAAGATGTTATTTTAGAACCAGCTTACACGGTCTGCGACTTCAGATATAAAGAGACTATCAATGTAATGTCTGTTGACCGTCCATTTAAAAAGGAAAATGTTCGATTGACAAAAGTACCCTTTAAACCTTTACGTAACCAATAATGTGGAAAGTACCATTGTAAATTGAACATAACACTTCATTAATGGATAGTTACTTGAAATTACGTCTGCTATCCCTTTAAGGCAATGGAACCAGGATCTCAACGTAGGTTGTCGGGAACATACCCACTTTCCCCCCCAGCTCTCCCTCCAGCCAGTTTTCATCCAGCTTCTTCTTTAATCTGATAAATACAGAGTTAATCCTAGTCTACCTAGTCTACCTAGTTTACCTAGTCTACCTAGTCTACCTAGTCTACCTAGTCTACCTAGTCTACCTAGTCTACCTAGTCTACCTAGTCTACCTAGTCTACCTAGTCTACCTAGTCTACCTAGTCTGCCTTGTCTACCTAGTCTACCTAGTCTACCTAGTCTACCAAGTCTACCAAGTCTACCAAGTCTACCTAGTCTACCTAGTCTACCAAGTCTACCAAGTCTACCAAGTCTACCTGATATTGTCCCCCTCCTTGAACCCTAATTCTCCTGGATTCTCTGCAACGAACTCGAAAAGACCTCGGCACGTGGGAATCCTTGATGTTGGCGAGCTCACACGGGATGGAGGACGGGAGGGAGGTCTGGAGGGTGGAGCAGGTGTTCCTGATGGGGTAGAGGCGGGGCTACCCCAAGGGGAGGGGGCGGGAGAGGACCCACGGCTCGGGCCTCTTGATCTGCTGCCTCCTCTGAAAATAGTGTGAAATATAATAAGTACTGCAAGCA